ATCATGCCCCTTTCCAAGCCCGCCTTGCTACAGTGTTATTACTGTACCCAAAATGGAAAGACCTAGCGTGCACCACCTGGCTTAGAGATTTGTGCCACACAGGATGCTCAGTAATAATAGATATAATCACCAACCTGCAGACATGTATACCTGGGTCTCTTTTTTCTTTAACAACTCAACTGAATTTACCCTAGGTGCCAGAATTCCCAAGTATGGCTATGTCTATGTCCCCAAATTAAAAATTACTTGTCATGGGTCCCTGCTAGATAATCTGACATTTCCATTCTTCTTGAAAATGTTGACTACTGATGACTATTAACACCTCTCCCAGGTATATTGTACGTTTTAATAGGGAACGCCTAGAAAAATGCCCTAACTCAAAGGAATGAATCAATATTGGGGGAAACTCAGGTACTATTACAATCTGAGGAAAGGAAGATTTTTTTTTAAAAGGTGTCTTGTGATGTTTCTCCTCCTACATAGGAACCAGGCCCTACCAAATTTTGTGCCCCTCCAAAACCACAGAAAGTCTCTTTGTCTCTCTCTCTCTCTCTCTGTCCCTGTCTCTCTCTGTCTCTCTGTGTATCTCTTCTCTCTCTCTCTCTCTCTCTCTCCACCCACAGCAAGTTTTTGTGGGTTTCATTCAGCTAAAGGAAGCACACACCCATCCCTCACTCAGTGAGCACAGTTTGTGAATGTTCTTTGGCTAAACTTGTCTTTTACATATACCTTGTCTCTGGCTCATGGTAAAGCTCCACCTGAATTAAAAAACTCATCTCTAAATGGACTTCAAACATTCTTCAATGAACCCTTATATCGCTCTAATCTTTAGCCTCTCCCTATTTACTGGTTCCTTCTCTGCTCTGCATTCCCTGAACCACATCATTATTACCATCACCATTTTCTGCCCTGCCTGTGCTGCAGCTGATGCTGCTCCAACATCTAAAATGGATTACATGTCTGTACTCCCTGCACTTTGTGTTCTCATCTTCAAACTGGCCATTTTCTCTTCAATCACCCTGTGGATGCTCTTCCCTTTCCCACTTCCACCTATTACTTTGAAAACTATAATCAAACCAACACTACTATAGCTCCTAGAAAGGGTATGTTATGAATTTGCTGTATTATTTCACGTTGTGACTTCTCAGACCATAACTCTGTTCTCCAATCACCTATCTGCTACTCCCCTATATGTGTTACTTCCTCATTAAAATGTAATCTCCTTGTTGGTAGGAACTGTCTTTGCTTTTTCATTTGCCCTCCCAGTCATGGAGGAGTAGATGGATAACTACTCTTGAAGCCAGAACATCTGGCACATATTGGCTGTATGATCCTGGACAAGTCACTTATCCTCTCAGTGGTCTAGGCAACTCTCTAAGGCTGTAAGTTGCAGAGAAAGTGACAACCTTTATTGCTAGAGGTTGTCACAGAGAAGGTATCAGCCTCTAGATGTGGAGTGTGTTTCTTTATTAAGGAGTTCCTTATGCCAATGAAATCAAAATTCACTCCCTGTACGCTATCCTATTCCCCACATCTGCCATAATATTTCTCAACCTACCTGCTGCATTTGACACTCACCTTTTCCTCTTGAATGTTCCCTCCTCTGGATTTGTCTTCTATTCTGGTTGGCCTCCTATCTGTCTGAACCCTCCTTCCCAGTCTCCTTTAGCTCATCTTCTTTGTCATGTCCCCAATGATGGGTATTCCCCAAGGCTCTCTCCTAGGATTCTCATCTTCTTTTGCCATTCTGTATCTCTCAGGGACCTAATCAGCTTTCATGGATTTAATTTTCAGTTTTCTGCAGATGTAATTTAGATGTATATATCCAGTTTTATTTCTCCCCTCAGTTTCAGTCCCACATTAACAATTGCCTAGTAGCCAGTTCTAACCCTAATTCCATTTTCAAGACTAATTCTGTTTCTAACTCTACTTCCAACTCTAATCTTAACACTAACTCTCAAATCCTAAGTCTTTTTCTAACTCTAATTTCACTTCCATTTCCAACTATTCCAGAGACATCTCAGATTAAATGTCTCAAATGGAACTCATTATCTTTCCCCAAAAAACCCACATCTCTTCCAAACTTCCCTATTTCTGTCTAAGATATAATCATTATTTGAGTCTCCCAGAGTCATAGCCTTGGTATTATGCCCAACTCTGACTTTCCTTCACCCCACATACAGAATTCATTGGCGAATCTTTCCACTTATTTCTCATGTCTCACCTATTCACAGAGACAGTATTATGGTTCAGAACCTCATCAGCTCTTGACTAGATGATTTCAATGGTCTCCTAAGTGGTCTTCATGACTTAAGTCTCTCCCTCAGCTGAGTCCATCCCCCATATAACCACCAAGAGGATATTACTTAAACAAAGATCTGACTCTGTTACTTCTCTACTCAATAAACCCCATTGTTGTTATTTAGTTGTTTTTAATCAAATCAGACTTTTCATGACCCCATTTATGATTTTCTTGGCAGAGATACTAGAGTGGTTTACCATTTCCTTCTCCAGCTCATTTTACAGTTGAGGAAACTGAGAGAAACAGGGTTAAATGACTTGTCCAGGGTCACACAGCTAGTTAGTGTCTATAGCCACATTTGAACTCAGAAAGATGAATATTCCTGACTCCAGGCACAGCATTCTCCACTGCACCACCTAGTTGCCCCTTCAATGAACTCCAGTGGCTCCCTATTGTATCTAGGAGAAAAAAATATAAATGCCTCTGTTTAGACTTTAGAGCCTTTCATTACCTGTCCCCAACCTATATTTCTAGCCTTAATACATTGTTCTCCCTACCAAACTGTAACTGAAGCAAACCAGCCTCCCTCTGATTGTTATAATTGCACTCTTGCTTCTCCATGCCTTTGCACTGGCTGTCTACTATGCCTAAAATGCACTCCCTTCTCACATCTACCACTTACACTACATCTCTTCCTTCAAGATGAAGCTCAAGGCCTACCTTCTCCATGAGTCTTTTCCTGATAGCCCCAACTGCTAGTGCCCTCTAGTGAGTTGGAACCAACTCACTGCTAGTAAGTTGAAGCCAACTCAAACCAACTTTTGAGAGCCAATTGCTAAATTTTCATGCTGAACATTTATACTTTAGAAACTGGCAAATACTACAAATCAGGTCTTGATTTATCACTTTGTTGGTGTCTAGACTTAAGATAGTGGTGGAGAAAATATTAATAATACAGTTTTAAACTTGAAAACATGTAATGGATACATGTTTTCTCAGATAACCAGCTAAATATTTAACAATACACCACTGTCTCCCTCCTTATCTTGTATTTATCTGCATTTGTTCTCTTTGTTTAAGTATTTATATATATATGTGTGTGTGTGTATATATATATGTATGTATATGTATATACAGAAAACATATATACACATATATCTCTTCCCATAGAATGTAAAATACTTGTGAACTGGGATTGTTTTCTTTATATTTGTATTTCCAGAACCTAGCACAGTGTTTGACACATAGTAGGCACTTAATCAATGTTCATTGCTTAATTGATTCCTTTATCCAACAGGTTCATTCTCTTGCCCTACATTTTAAAGAATGGTAAACGTTTATTCCAAAATTCAATAGAGTAGAAGACACAAAATGGAGTAGTGGATAGAAAGCTAATCTTAGAGAAAAGAAGACTTGGGTTCAGATCCTGCTACTGATCCACCCTAGCTATGTTACCCTTGTCAAGTCACTTAACCTCTTAATGCCTGTAGGATTTAATCTCTAATTTAGACTACATGTTTCAAAATAGTTGCCCAATTGCATAGATAGAGGTAGCTTCCTCACCAGGAGTTTGGTGTACCAATGAAATCATGGGTCTAGAGTCCCCCCCCCCAACAAAAAAAACCCTAAAATAAAGTATAGCATTTAAAAATCAACTCACTTGTAATCAAATCTTTAATTTGTTTCATTATACTTAACTTGGTGATAATTCATTCCATGTAATGGCAGAAGCTCAATGAGAAAAGAAACTCAAAAACTGCTGACTTAATAACTGTTGGTGATGCTAAGAAAGGCAATGTTGCCTCATGTAGAGATAGAGAGCCAACCTTGGAGTCAGGAAGACTTGGGTTTAATCCCTGTCTCTGACATATAATACCTGTCACCATGGACATGTCATTACCTTCTAATTGTCCCTAGGCAACTTTGAAAGACTATTAATAACTAAAGAATTACAGATTTACATACCGAGAGTTCCTTATTACCAGTAAAATTGTACATTTCTTCCACCAAATCACAAGATTTGGGAATTAGAAGGGACCTCAGCAGCTGTCTAATCCAACTCATACAGGAAAGGAAAACCCACTATAACATACCCAACAAGTGGTGGTCCAGGTTCTACTTGAATATTTCTAAGGAGAGGGAACCTACCATTCCATTCCTTTCCTACCACTTTCCTTCCTCACAAAAGATTGTACTCTTAAATACTATTGTAGTATTCTCATTTGTAAAGTTTATTCACCTATAGAAAAAAAAACCAAGAATCTACAGATTCTTGTTATAATCTATAGAGTGCACAGATTGTAACAGAAACAGTGGCAAATACAGTTGGGAAGCTCAAAGTATGTAAATGAAGGCAGAAGGAATGCCTGCAGAAGGAAAAAAATGTTAGGCAATTGCAAAGTGTAAAGAGTATTATATTATTTTATCTCACATTTAAATGACAAGATAAGAAAGTTTTCTCTGTTTCCTCCAACACTCACATATTAGTGACATTTGCACTTATGGTATGCCAGTTTGCTACCATTTCCTAGGTTAAGTAATTTTCCCTTTTTGTGATACCCCCCAAATCACCACACTAAAAACTACAGGCACCAGGGCAACCAGATGATAGGTGATGGTATCGAGATAGGAAATCCTAAATGGTGTGAGAAAACTACTAATTGACACTAAATTAGATTGTATCAGTCTTGGAGGTGGGGAAGGGAGATATTCATCCTAATCCTACTTGTGTCAAATAGTAAGCTGGCAAATAACTTACCTATACATCGTGTACTGATGATTCTGGTGATGATAAAGAAAAGAAGACCTCCTGTGTTGCTGTTCCTTTGATCAGTGTTTCAAAGGCTAATGTACTAACTCCAGGGAGAGTTAGGGTTTTATGGGTTGTGAGAAAATGCAAAGAGCAATTAAGATGGAACTCGTCTGACAGGTGTGGATGACAGCAGTTATTCTCTCTGGTTTCAAGGAAGGAATGAAAAAATATCCTTGAGTTGGTTATTTAGGAAAAAACAAAAGCCCAAACTTGCATTGGGCACCTCAGAGGTACACCCAAGATGCACCACCACAGATTGGTGAATCAGAATTCTGACTCAGGTTAACGACTTCCCTCATAATGAGCAACTTCTCCTTAGTTGAAACCAACTGTAACCAGTTCTAGAAATCTTTGATGATTACCATGTTAATCTGCAAAAATCTCCAAGATTCTCTCATTATTTTTTATTTACAACTCAGTTTGGTAGGTTAGAGAAGAGGGAATCTCAGCTCTATCCCAGTAATACAAGTTAACCAAAATTGGAGCTTTTATTTAGTCAGTTGGAGAAATGGGTGGTGACTTCAAGTGTTTCTACAAAGTGGAGCAGATGAGCTTTTTCTATGTGATATCATAGGACATTGAAAAACAATTACTCAAAGGAGAATTTTGTTTTACTGACAACAGATTCAGATAATTAGCAAGCATGTCTATTTTCTCTAAGGTCTGGACCTCTGTTTACATTAGTTCCTCATTTTCTGTCTTTGACAATGTTCATGTCTTCCCTACTAGGGAGGAAAAAGCTTTGATGTAAGGACTATGGCAAAGTTACAAGACAGAGAATCCAGTGTTCTTCCTGGAATGGGTGGGATTTCAGTTTGAGCTATGACACTTACTTCCTAATGGTATGTCTGTGGAATAGTCATGACTCCTCTAAAACTCAGATTTCTTCTCTATAAAATGAGGATCACAATACTTACACCACTGACCTCACAAGTTCATTGTAAGGAAAGTACTTTGTAAATATTGAGAGACTTAAGGAGTCTTAGACAACTTTGCTCCACTGCCCATTCCAACTTCCATTCTTTTCCTTTCTTAGATTCAAAGGAGTTGAAAGTAGGGAAAGAACAGGAGGGAGAAGGAAGGAAGGAAGAAAAAGAAAGAAGGCAGGAAGGGAGGGAGGAAAAAGGTAGGAAAAGAGGAAGGAAGAAGGAAGGATGGAAGAAAGGAGGAAGTGAATGAGGGAGAGAGAAAAAGGAAGGGAGGAAGAAAGAGAGGAAGATAGTTATGTACATAAATGTAGAAGGAGAAAGGAAGAAGGCATTTATTAAGCTTTTACTATGCTTCAGGTATTGTGCTAAGTGCTTTACAAATATTATCTCATTTTATCTTCATAAGAATCCTGGGAAGCGGGTGCTATTATTATCCCAATTTTACATTTGAAAACACTGGGGCAAACAAAGGTTAAGTGACTTGCCTAAGGTCACACAGCTAGTAAGTGTCTGAGATAAGGTTTGAACTCATGTCTTCCTTGACTTTAGGTCCAGTGTTTCTCTGCCTTGTTACCTCATAGAGAAGCAAAATAGTCTCCAGGAGCTCACATTCTAATAGGAGGAGAAAAACATATATAGGAGGTGGAAAATAACTTCAGAAATTATGTCAGATCATTTCAGATAGAAGGGTCTTCCTTTCTCCTGTCCCTCTACTACTGACTCATGATTAATCATATGTATTGACTATCAGAGCATATTCCTTTCTCTTGCTCCCTCAATCATATGCACTAGAATTCATATGTTGTCACTGAAGTGATGGATACATCATCCTATATATTTTTTAAAAGTTGTTGCAATTCTAGCCATATTGGGTTGCCAGAAATGAGGGATAAAGAACAATAAAAAATAGTGAAAGAATAGACATGAAAGAAGAAGTCAGAATTCCAAGAACATGAGGAAATTTCCAAATGGTAATATGAGAGGGGAAAGGAGAATGAATAGAACAAGTAGCATAAGAAGATAGAACACATGGAAATTATAAAATAAAGGGCTATTCCAATGGGAACTGTCCTGAATACCCACCATCTAGAAATCAGGGAAAAATTTGGACATTAGAGAAGAGAGAAATTGTCCTTGACAAGCAGAAAGGATACCTCATTATCATAGACTAGAGAGAAGTAAGAGATAATAGAAATTGAGAACAGATGAATGTGAGATGAGAAGAAGATGGAGTTTGTTGTGAAAGCTCTCAATTTTCTTTTCCTGAGTAGTGTGAGGCATGGGACTAAACTGAGAGGGTAGGGGAAAAGGTGGCATTTGTTGTTGTTGAGTTATTTCAGTCATGTCTGACTCTTCATGACCCCATTTGAAGTTTTCTTGTCAGAGATACTGGAATGGTTTGCTATTTCCTTCTTTAGCTCATTTTACAGATGAGGAAATTGAGACAAATAAGGTTAAATGGCTTACTCAGGGTCACACAGTTAGTAAAGCCACATTTGAACTCAGGGAGACGAGTCTTTCTAGGCCAAGCACTGTATCCATGGCACCACCTACCTGTCCAAGAGGTAGCTTAGGAGGCTTATAGAAGAGAAGATTTGAAACAGCTATGTTGAGGGGGATAGAAAATACATTGAAGAGGAGTAATAACATTTCCTTGTAGCAGTGAAGACCCATTAGAATTAGAATAAATCTGTAATGGACCCAGTCACCATGGTTTTATGATTTCTTGCAGTTTTGTTCAACAGCACTTGAGTAGTAGCAAAGGAGGTAGATAGTAGGAATAAACCAAGTGTGGGGTTTGTCAAAATGTGCTTGGGTAATAGGGAATGGAAACAAGACATTTGAGAGTAAAGGATGGTGTACAACTGAATTAGTTCACCAAGGGTTTGAGATTAGGAAAAGAGGATAGTATAGACAGAGTAGGGGTGATAGATTAAAGGTCATAGTGATCATGAAGAATGTTATGAGATATGCATAAGGAGAAATAGAAAGATTTAAATATGATAGTTCAAGGAATTTCAAAGTTTTTGAACATAGTAGAAAAAAAAACTGTGAATGATTGTAAGATCATGTATATGACCACACCTGGGTGCGACTGATGTGGAGTAGAGGTCACTGCACTTGAATAGATTGAAGTTGGATAAAGATTGATGTTAGAGTAATTAGAATTAGTTAATTAGGAAGTTAGGGTATTTGAGGGAATATCAAAATGCATTTTGAAGGATCTTAGTATAAAGCAAAGTGTTGAGGTGGAGAGGGAGATTATGAGTTATTCACTAAACTCAATGGGAAAGGCAGGAGAATGTTCCAGGACAAGCAAATAATGGCTTTCAGAATCTTGAATAGATGATAAATTTGCATTGCACATATCTCAAATGAAGAGTCAGTGTTGAGTGTTAGTGATAGAGGGAAAGTCTGGAAGCAAAGGGGATGGACAAGGATTCAGAGATCCCCACTTCAACTTGTCAATGGGCTATTAGTGAACATGTAACCAAAAATTGGAAAGGCTAGCCAGCAGTGCAGTATAATCCAGAGAGAACAAGGTCTCTCATTGGGTGCCAAAAGATGTAAGAAGCTACAACGCAAGTGGTGCCAGATGAAAAGATGTGTTTTTAATTTAAAAAATATAGAGTAGATGTTCTAGAGGACACTGTGGAAGGGCCAGACAGATCCAGAGTATAATAGTGTGGCAGAAGGGTTGCGGGAGATGAGAACAAAAAAGCACACAGGTGGGTTTGGGGAAAGTGGTATTTATTTTGGCAAGCCAGGATTCAGTATCTCTGGGAGAGAAGGAGTAAAGGAGGGAAAGGGGTGGTGGGTGGTAGGGGAATGAGTCCAAGTGAAGTCCTTTGATAAGAACAGGTCATAATAAGGTTCTAAACTGACCTTCAGGGTTTCAGCACAGCCTTCAACATCCTGAACTATCCTGTTACTATGTCCTAAAATGCATCTGGAAGCCCCATTCACAGTATGTATAAGCATGTTATGGTGTGTCCCTAACCAGGAAGCTAGAGCTACTGTGTGCCAGGCTGATGGGAACAAGCATGAGCCAGGCCTGGCCCATTACCGCCCTAGGGGAAGCTGGAAGCCAAGAAGAGCCAAGAGATAATATGTCCTACCTTGGAACAGCCCCAGACAGGGAATGTCTGGCTCCATGAGGGCAAGGACATTCCTCCTTTTTTTTCCTCTCAGTCCTCAGTCTCTTTATTTTTAAATTAATTTATTTATTTTTAGTTTTCAACATTCACTTCCATAAGCTTTTGAGTTTTAAATTTTCTCTGCCTCCCTCCTCTGCCCCTCCCCAAGACAGTGTGCAATCTGATATAGACTCTACATATACATTCTTACTAAACATTTTCACATTAGTCATATTGTAAAGAAGAATTAGAGCAAATGGGTGGAACCACGAGAAAGAAGAAACAAAACAAAACAAAAAGAGAGAGAGGGCAAATAGTACGCTTCGATCTGCATTCAGACTCCACAGTTCTTTCTCTGGATGTGGATAGCATTTTCCATCATGAGTCTTTTGGAGTTGTGACATTCCTACTTTTTGCATCTGTTTCTCCCACACTTAGCACATTGCCTGGAACATAGTAAGCATTTAAATGTTTTCATTCATTCATTCATTTTCATGGTGCTGGAGAGTCTGAGTGTTAATTGTTAGCAGCAGAGATAGTTAGCATGAAGGACTTATCTAAACAATGGGAATGATGAGAATAAGACAGGAAATCAATATGAGTTTAGTAACTGATATTGAACCAACCGTGGTTATCAACTAGCCCACCAGTCAGTTTGATAGCATATCTCATGCAATAGCAAAATCAAAGTCCTAGTCCAATACTTCATTTTAGCATGAAAGGGCCCTGGGTTCTTTAAGTTTATCTATATCAGCAGAATACAAGTGTTGTTTGGTTCTACCATAATGACAAGGCTTTGAAAACAGTTCCAGCAGCAAACTGTATCTGCTATCTAAGGACCAGAGTACTGGAAGTTTAGAGGATCCACATCATTTTACTAGCAACTAGGTGAAGGACTCTTTGGCCCTGGCAACTCTTGAAATACATGTATTTGGGGGCTTTATTAGTTATCACAAAAAAGAAGTATGAAATTACAACTTGCATTGGCACTTTCTTAGGCTACCCCATCAATGCTCCAGGCATCTACCTCATGCCAGAGAAAGGACTGTCAGATTCCAAACAGAAAG